AAAATTTTTCTGGTTAATAGTAATGTTAATCCATACTTAACAGTTTAATTGATTTTAGAACATTACAACTCCTCAGAGTAGATGGCTAACATCATAATATTAGTGACTTTGTGATGTAAGTCTAACTTTTCCCAAAGTAGGTCATTTTTATTTTTTTGTCATTGTGAAAGGCTGGAGGCTTTCCTCTTTTACACAATGACCACCCCATGGGGGGGGGGTGTCACTTTTTAGCTTCTGCACCTCACCAACATAACCATTGACTGGAGGTCAAAGTGCAAGAGGAGCATCCAGTTACGTGTGGGAGATAGACACAGGTCAACCATCCATCCTCCATGTCATCCCTCCAGACCTTCTTGCTTCTGTGTATATCTTACAAAATGTTTACTCAGAATTAAGTTCAATTTTCTACCTTAATAACTGGGATTAATTATGAAATGTTATACATTCGTTGAACAAACCGAATACCAAAGTTCTGCTTATATCTTTCAACCTGAAATGACAACTCAGCTTCAGCTAGTGCATTTTTCAAAGGGAATAAAACATGAGGGCAGAATGGTTATCTGTATGTTGACTCTGAAGCCCACCACCGACTGGGTAATCCATTTTAGAGGAAATACATTATGTGGACCCATTTCTGCCTGGTTTCATGACAGAACATGGTATTAAAACAGTCTTGGTTACCTTGACCATCAACTAATCTAGATGAAAGACAGGATAGTAGTACTTTTGTTGATCTTTGTAGTCTCACAGCAGCTTTTGAAACTATCAAACATGGTATCCCTTACTGACTCCATCAGAAGGGAGTAGGCAAAAGTATATTAAGTGATTCCATTCCTATCTATGAGGCCAGTTCTAGACAGTGGCACTAGAGGATTCTCCTTCAAGTCCATTAAGCTGTGGGATGCCATCAAGTGTCATCTTGTTTCTCACGCAGTTCCATATCTATATGAAACCAGTGAGGGAGGTCATTAGCAGACCGGGTACTGTGCCTTTCTGCTTTACTTCTTGTTACTACGGACAGCTGGGCTGTGCAATCATCTGAATCCTGATAGAACAAAGGCTGTGCATAGGTAGTTCTTGGGTCAAGGAACTGGGTAAATGTTTTGCCTTGGATGGGTTGAACTTACATGTGTGAAGCTTGGGAATATTCCCACATCTATCTCTGTTACTGGAGGCACAGAAGAAAAACATGGCTCAATAATCCACTAGCAACAGCCTTTCCTGGATAGGGAAAATTTAGAGACTGGAAGTTTCCCAATTTAGGCACTGTGCAGCTAATCTTAGAGAACCGGAATCCGCACCTACTGCAAAATGCAGCAACTACAACATCTTATATCAGCCATACAACAGTTATCTAAGTAAGTGCATATTGTACCTTAATATGTAATGGAGCTCCATTTCTTATATACACATGACAAAGGGCGAAAGTCTATCACATGGGTCTTCTTTAACAACCCACTAGTGGGAGCAATACACTGTGTGAAGACATGGACTTTTTTCTGCTGTAGCACCCAACTGTAGGATGTCTTCTCCTAAAGGTCAAATCCGTGCAGATATTAGTTTCATTTCAGTGCGAAATTAACAAGGTTTTTTACTAAAGCTTTTGGGGATCAAATTTATCCCATTGGTCCACCTAAGCTGTATTTGTAATTTTGTTCCTAGTTAATAAGTTTTAGACTGTATATTATGTTTAATGTTTTCACATGTTAATTGTTTCAACTGATGTTACTGTATAATGCCCTCGGATCTTTTGATATACGATGGAATAAAAATATTTTAATAAACAAAAATCTATATAAATAAAAATGTAATGTTTGTTTGTGGGATTAACATAACTCAAAAACCACTGGGCGAATTGACCCCAAATTTGGACAAGTGACCATCACTCATAAAAACACTGAAAAACAGCAGAAGAGACTTAAAAAGACAAAAAGCCAAAAATTACATTACAATGCATGCACAAAACCACATATACACACGAACACACATATATACGCATATACACGAATATTATACACACACACACACACACATATACATAAACTGGGCCACAGCAACGCGTGGCAGGGGACGGCTAATATATACTAAAGTAGCAGTCACTCTTCAATTACCATACATTGCAGACACATATTTTAATAGCTGGCATAAGATATGAGTTATCCATAGTACCAGCACAGGAAGAACTCTTATAGCCAATTCTAAGTAAATATACATAAGAACAGAGTCCAGAGTTCAACCAGACCTAGTCATGAATAAAACTGTGGTCCATTTAATTACTAAAGCCCACCAACTAAATAATTTACTTAGCAAATAGTTTTGAAATAAAAAGCAAAAGATGAAAGCACTTGAATTTATTTTCTCACAAATCTTATCACCTTGAATATTTGAGGCAGCTACTACTGGTATTTAGTCAGATTCTTAACCTATTCTACCTCTAAATATTTGAGGGAAAGTAGGAATATTTTAACTGCAAAGGCTTCAGAATTTCTGACTGTTCCAACTAGTGCAAATTCATTAAATTGATTATTGATCATGAAGTGAAAAAGCAAGCAAATTCCATCAATCCATTGGTTTACTCTACTTGAGGCAACTTATAGGATTCAAGCCAAAAAATTTTTTTATCTTGTCAGGATTGACTTGAGAAACTGCAAGTCGCTTCTGGTATGAGAGAATTGGCCATCTGCAAGGACGTTGCCCAGGGGACATCTGGATGATTTGATGTTTTTATCATCCTCGTGGGAGGCTTCTCTCATATCCCCACATGAGGAGCTAGAGCTGACAGAGGGAGCTCATCTGCCTCTCTCCGGATTTGAACCTGCGACCTGTCGGTCTTCAGTCCTGCCGGCACAGGGGTTTAACCCACTGCACCACCGGGGGCTCCCAGCCAAAGAAATTAGCATAAAACACTGATAAAACTGCCTTTTAAAACCAGAAATTCTGAGATCTGGCAAGCCAATGTAACTGCTTAGAAGGGTGTGAATCTTGATCATACATGTCTCTATTCAGAAAGTCGTTTATGTGTTTTAGGACTCGCCATATAACACTTTTTTAAATATCTTAAATAGCAAATGGGGAAAACATTATCTAGCTCTCAATAGCACAGAAGGGAAAACATTGTTTTGCCTAGCATCATGCTTCCTATTCCTTCTGTGCCGCACACAACATGGCGCAACTTTCCTAACTGTGCATGTATCAGTTCCTCTTCCATCCTCCACTTCACCATTTATCTTAGAAAGACAGCTTCCTCCTCTCAAACATAACTGTAAACACAGCATGGAATTTCCTCATGTAAGAACTCAATTCAGTAAATAATCCTAATTACCATATGAGACACACTCTTCTTCTTTGTTAAATACCCACAAAGAGTGAAAAAGAGAAAGAGAGAAATCGGGCATTTCCTCATTTGATTTTCCCAAGAATATGACAAACATACATTCGCTTGAAAGAAAAAGAAAATAAAGGGGGAGGGGGGAAAGCTTTAAAAAAACCAAAACGTTTGGGAAAAAAATAGGCCGTTCTTTGGTGCAATAAACAGGATGTCAGCCATACCCACTTCTGGTTGGGCTGCTGATAGTCAAAGTGCCACAAAAGTTTGCACAGGCATGCGTACCAATGGTGTGGGTATGCATACAAGGGTTGGATGCGGGTTTCTTGTCTGCCTCAATTTTTTCATCTTCAGTCGTGAGTATACAGATATCATAATGGTATATAACACCAGAAAAGCTGCCTAGAATGTATAAGGGAGTTTCAAATGTATGTTGAAAATGAGAACAAGAAGAAGGGGCTTTCTATCTTATATGGTATATTTATTTATTTATTTATTCCGTTAATATACTGCTTTTCCTACCCCTGGTGGGAGTCTCAAAGCGGTTCACAATGAAGTAAATGGCAAAATTCAATGCCTTACAAATTATAAATACAATACATGACACATATATGATAGATTAAAACTAATAAACTATAAAACTTAAAACATGACATAATCTACACAAAAACTTTAAAAACATTCAATTGCATCAATCTTGAAGATATTTTGACCATTTGATCAAGTAGTAATGTGAACAGCCATGTTTGAAGTTGTTTCCTAAAGACCAGGAGGGAGGAGGCCAATCTAATCTCACTAGGGAGGGCACTCTACGGCCAAGGGGCCACTACTGAGAAGGCCCTGTCTCTCGTCCCCACTATTCATACTTGAGAAGGCAGCAGAACCGCCTCACCCGATCCTAATGCTCTAATTGGCTCATAAAGTGAGATGCGTTTGGAAAAGCCCAAATACCTATCCATACATACTTTGATGCAGAGAATTTTAAGAATTAGTGTACAAGTAAAAACAAAAGTTTCTTCCGGGTTTTATGACTGAACAATTAGAAAAGAACAATGGAAGATTACTTCAATATATGATAACGGCAACAAAAAAATAGAATAATCCAAAATTACCTACTATATAGTGGTGATGGTTGAAAAAGGCGAGCAAAGCAGCAGAAATGGACAAATTATCTGCTTTGATTAGACAAAAAATGGTTAGAAGACTACTAGGTTTTTGTTTTTTGAGGGGGGGGGGGAGAAAATGAGTTGTGTTGCAGTGACTCAGGACAGATGGCCATCCAGGCTAGGTTTAAAAGCCTCCAGTGAAGGAGAGTCAGCCACACTCTTCAGCAGTGAGTTCCACTGTTCTTCCTGTTAGGAAGTTCTTTCTAATGTTTAGGTAAGATTGTATGCGTTTTGAATTGTTGTCTCTTATTTATACGCTGCTCAGTCTCTGAAAAAGCAACATATACATAAATATGATGACGACAACAACACAAACAAGTGTAGTTTATAGATAAGCTCTAGAGATAGGCTTATTTGGGAGGGGGGGAGGGGATAAGACTGGTGGGGGATCAAAGAGGGAAAAGGGGAAGAGTTGAGGGAACCAAGGGCCAGCCCCCTCCCGCTTCCCCCCAGGAGAGTAGGCCCAAATCCTTCTCCTTCTCTTGCCTCGACGACGCCCCCGCACTCACCACTTCCCTGGACGCCTCCCCGAAGAGGAACAGGTCTCCTCGCTCAGCCCTCTTCTCACTCTTTGCCCCGCATATTCCCCTCGCCGGCTCCAGCCGAGGGGCGAGGAAGACACGGGTGTCAATGCGGAGACAGCCCCACTCCGTGCCCACCGCGCTCTCGCTCTCTCCGCTCTGAGGGAAATCGTCCCACTGAGCCTCCCCCCGCGCATGCGCAGGAAGAGCGAAGGGGGACTTGCCCGCCGAGCATGCGCACTCAAGGCCACGGGACTGCCTTCGACGTCGGACTTCCCGGTTTTGCAGATCATCATGGATGTGTCAACTTCTGGCTCAGTGTCTCGTTCTCGCTCTTCGCCTCGAAGGCAATCCGGTCCTCATTTGCATCGGCTTGCTTTGTTTCCTTTACAAGTCGCTTTCCCTTCATGAGGAAACCTCCAGGAAGACAGGACTAAGGCCTAGGCAAACTTGGGCCCTCCAGGTGTTTTGGACTTCAACTCCCACCATTCCTAACGGCCTCAGGCCCCTTCCTTTTCCCCCTCAGCCAAGCGGCTGAGGGGGAAAAGGAAGGGGCCTGAGGCCGTTAGGAATGGTGGGAGTTGAAGTCCAAAACACCTGGAGGGCCCAAGTTTGCTCACACCTGATCTACACTGTAAAATTAATGCAGTTTGACACCGCTTTAATTGCCACAGCTGAATGCAATGGCAATTTTGGATTTGTACTTTGGTGAGGCACCAGATCTCTTTGCCAGAGAAGGCTCAAGACTTTGGAAATGACAACAACTCCCATGTTTGCATAGCAGTTCAAGTGGTGTCGAACTGTGTTAATTCGGCAGTGTAGATGGAGCCTAATCAATCCAGGGGAGGAGTAGCCTCAGGGCCCTTCCAGACAGGCCTTATAGCCCAGGATCTGATCTCAGGTTTTCTGCTTTAGACTGGATGATATAATAATAAAATAATAATAAAAATACCAGGTGACAGCCACATCGAAGAAAAACTCTATCAAGACCTCAAAATCAAACTGCAAAGGCTCTGGCATAAACCAGTGCAGGTGGTCCCAGTGGTCATTGGCACACTGGGTGCCGTGCCAAAAGTGTTCGACTTGTGATTTTTTGATACGAAATCCAGCAAATAGATCTTGTTTGCTGTGACATACTGTGCTTTTGTGTCAGTAAAATAATAAAGTTACAGAGAATGAACATGTCAAGCTACTCTGGGACTTCCGAATTCAGACAGACAGAGTTTTGGAGCACAATACTCCTGACCTCATGATCGTGTTAAAAAACAAAGTATGTCGATGTTGCAATCCTAGGTGACAGCAGGATTGAAGAGAAACAACTGGAAAAGCTGACACTATATGAGATATAAGTTCAAAGGCAGTTCAGTCAATAAACGTAATAGCAATCTAAAGTTTTATCGTCATGCCACTCAAAGCAAGTTTTCAGCTACCTTGTGAAACTAATCCAACATCAGCACTGGCAAAAGAACAACTGCAAAGATCGAACTGCAAAGACTCTGGCACAAGCCGGTCAAGGTGGTCCCAGTAGTGATCAGCACACTGGGTGCAGTGCCTAAAGACCTTGGCATGCACTTAAACACAATCAGCGCTGACAAGATTACCATCTGCCAGCTGCAGAAGGCCACCTTACTGGGATCTGCATGCATTATTCGCTGATACATCACACAGTCCTAGACACTTGGGAAGTGTCCGACGTGTGATCCAATACAACAGCCAGCAGAGTGTCTGCTGTGGACTCATCTTGTTGTATTTCAAATAATAATAATCTTTATTTATACCCCGCCACCATCTCCCAGGGCGGCTTACCTGAGGCCAAGCCCAATAAATGCAGCAAAGCAAATATACAACATAAAAATACAACAATAAAATATAATGAAAATAAAATTGCAAGAAACAATACGAATAAGTCCGCACTGCCAGATAATCTGGGATAAACATAAAACATAGGATCAGATCCTGGGATATGGGGGCTGTCTGGAAGGGCCCTCAATTACCAAACCATCTCCTTCATCACACTAGAGAATGAATCCACTTTAAATCTGGTTTCTGCCTCCTGCAGAATTCTGGGGTTTGTAGATTAGCAAGGCTGTTAAAGGCTCCTCCCTAAACTACAAACCCTAGAATTCTGGAGGAGGCAGCAACCGGATTTAAAGTGGATTCATTCTCTAGTGTGATGAGGTAGCATGTCACTGTCACACAGTGCCTGCTTGCAGACCAAACATTCACATGACTCAAGCTTGTCCTTTTGGACTTTCAAAGGGCCAAAGGTAGATAAGTGGGCTTACATGTTTGGCTGCCCCAGCAAAAAGAATCCAAACTAGTTACGTTGCCCTTATGTAATTTCCTAACCCCTAAAACAATCTGGGAAACTGCCAGTTCATAACATAATTATTATTAATACGGAATTTAAGAAAACATTATTATTCACTGATCATGGATTAAAATTCTGTACAAAGGGATACAATATAAGCATATTGATTCGGTCATCTAAAGATTAATAACTAACAGCTTAAAACTATATTCTCTTTGCTAAGAGTCAACACAGGATTAAATATATTAGTGATACCAAATACAACATACACCCCTTCCACACAGTTGAATAAAATCCCACATTATCTGCTTTGAACTGGAATATATGGCAATGTGGACTCAGGGCTCTTCCATACAGCCCTTTATCCCAGAATATCAAGGCAGAAAATCTCACATTATCTAAGTATGGACTCAGATAACCTGGTTCAAAGCAAATATTGTAGGATTTTCTGCCTTGATATTCTGGGTTATACAGCTGTGTGGAAGGGCCCATAGTGCTTAATGTTGGCATGCACACAGAGTTTGAAGTATTGGAAATGGGTGAAAATTATATGCACACATATATATGTATTCGTTTTGGCTACTTCATAGACTATGTTTATGAAATATCCCAGCAAAAATGAAATATCTAGGGATAAGGTCGAATGAGTCACCTAAATATCCCAAAGGCACCAGATCCTCTCAGGCCACATCTACATTGTCATATAAAATTCAGATTATCTGCCTTGAACTGGATTATATGGTCATGTAGAGTCATGTAATCCAGTTCAAAGCATATAATCTGTATTTTATATGGCAGTGTAGAAGGGACCTCAGACCTTGGATGCTAAGAAGAGTCAGCCTTGGTTAGTACTTGGATGGAGCACCATGAATCCCAGGCTATATTTCAGAGGAAGACATTGGCAAAACCAGTTTCTTTGCCAAAGAAAACTTTTATATCAGTTTTTCAGTTTTGGCTACCTATTAAATCCTTGAGATCAACAGATTTTTTTTTTCGTGACTTGAGAAACTACAAGTCGCTTCTGGTGTGAGAGAATTGGCCATCTGCAAGGACATTGCCCAGGGGGTGCTCAGATATTTTGATGTTTTACCATCCTTGTGGGAGGCTTCTCTCATATCCCTGCATGGGGAGCTGGAGCTGATAGAGGTTGCTCATCCACACCTTCCCCGGATTTGAACCTGTAACCTTCAGTCCTGCCAGCACAAGAGTTTAACCCACTGCGCCACAGGGCGCTCCTGCCAGAAAACTAACAGCAACCCAAATAAATTATTATTATTATTATTATTATTATTATTATTATTAGATTCCAAATGACGTGAAGGCACAGATAGAAAGGAGTCTAATGATATCAGACCCTGTTGTTGAAAGATAAATATTATCTATGAAGTAGCCAAAACTGAAAAACTGATATTATAAAAGTAAAAAAAACAACAACAACCCTGATATTTGTCATAGACAGAACATGCTTGTGAATATTTTCATCCTACATATTGAGATAACAAAAGTGAAATTAAATTAAAGCTTTCTGTTTCAGTGGGGGTGGGGGGTATAATTAGCAAAAAGAGTTCAATACTGAAACTAGTTATGGTTCCCAGTTTTTTATTTGCTCAAAAGTTCAAAGGCAGTTCAGTCAATAAACGTAATAGCAATCTAAAGTTTTATTGTCATACCACTCAAAGCAAGTTTTCAGCTACCTTGTGAAACTAATCCAACATCAGCACTGGAACAAGCCCTAGCTCAAATTTCACAATGTGATTGACATGAAGGCATGAAATAAACTTAGATAACACCATGAAACACAATTTTTGTTCCTGGATTATAAATGTCATTTTCTAATTGGCTCTATCATTAAAAACATGAAAAAAATGTATTAGACTGTAAAATGTTTGTTTTTGCGGAACATCCTGCCGCACATTTTACTATAGTTTTTCAATGAATATCTCATAGAGTCTCAACCAATTCAAGACAGTTTGTGGCAGTCACAAAACAAAGTTTCTGGAGTATATAACAGCTACTTTCAAAATAAGTACCACACAATGATATGTGATTATTTTGATGTTTATTTATATTTATGTAATTTGTGTTTTGGCAATGTATGGATTTCTTGTTTACATGTTGGGTGGGTGGGTTGATAGTTTTGTGTATTATGTAGTTGTCTTTTTCATTATTTTGCATGCAGCTTTGAGACCCATCCATGGGATAAAAGCAGGAGAGAAGTAAAGAAATAATAATCACTATCATAATTAAGCAGGAATAACACTTTCAAACCAGGAACAGATTTTTTCTCAAAAGTTGTTACATAGATGTTGCAAGGAGCAAAACATCAAAAGCTGCAGGAAGAAGGAAATGGAAAAATCTACCAAGAATGCCTGGAAGGATGCAAGATACTCCACTTAGGCAGAAAAAATGAAATGCAAAGATACAGAATGGGGGATGCCTGCCTCAACAGCAGTATGTGTGAAAAAGATCTTGGAGTCCTCGTAGACAACAGATTAAACATGAACCAACAATGTCATGCGGTGGTTTAAAAAGCCAATGGGATTCTGGCTTGCATAAATAGGAGATATTGCCTAGATCCAGAGAAGTCATGCTACCCCTCTATTCTGCCTTGATCAGACTACTTCTGGAACCACACTGTGTCCAGTTCTGGGGAGATGTTGACAAGCTGGAAGGTGTCCAGAGAAGGGCGACTAAAATTATCAAGGGTTTGGAGAACAAGCCCTATGAGGAGCGGCTTAAAGAGCTGGGCATGTTTAGCCTGAAGAAGAGAATACACAAAAACTACTTTATTTTTGTACCCCGCCTCCATCTCCCCGAAGGTATTTGGGGCGGCTTATATGGGGCGAAGCCTGATCAAGACAGTTAAAATGTAAC